GGCATGAAAACCATAAATTAATTGTCGCTTGAAAAATTTATTTTTCCTCATCAATGCACGTACATCCCCTGATGAAAAATACAAACCTGGATGCTTGTGTTTGTCCCCAACAGCGGTGAATGCAGAACTACTAGTCTTGCCTGGTGTAAGTCAAATTTTTGGTCAGCTTGTTCTTTTTCTTCTTGCGCCCACTTTCTCCACTGCTGGTGCTGCTCACAACACTACTGTAGCTGCTGCTACGACTGCTGGCACTCAGACCTGGGGACACGGGCCCCAATGCTGTGATTGGAACAGGATGAAGTTGAGAGGGCTTGTACAAGTAGTCAGCGTTAAGCAAGGAGTTAGCTTGTAGTGTCTGGATGGATAACTGTTGCAATGCATCTGAACATGAGAATCATAACATGCATTATGGTACAGACATTACAGGTAAGCAACCAATCATACCAATTCATCTCTTATATTATTTCTTAGTGTGTTTAGTTAGAATTGATCTCAACAATTTGTTCTGTGTTATTCTTCTAAATTTGAAATCATTTTGAATAGATCCAGAATAGAATACAAGTTAAATGTTTCATGCGACTTTCTAAGAAAATGGCCAATACAGAGTAATTTTTAGTTTTAGTGTTAGTGACTAAAAAGTATTGACATGCATTTTTCTTTCCTAATTACACATTCAAACAGTGATATGCAAATGATGTTATGTGATATATGTGATATTACACATGTAAAATGACCCCCTAAGGATCACACAACCTTGTAAGTTTTATAGTATGAAACAAGCAACTTATTCCTATGCCTAGATGCTCAATTATCACAATATATACATATAAATGCATCCCTTGATAAATGGTCAGTGTCAAAACAGACACATTTGTCAGTATTTCTAATTTTAAAGAATTCTAACTCAAAATTATAATACCGTTTCATACCCCCCCCCCCCACACACACACACACCACCATACACACAAGATTCATCCTTGAAACTTAAACACTTGTGATGAATGAATGAAATACGTAAATACTACTTTAAAACAAAGTCAGTGATGTAAATTACAAAGGTCACAAACATCACATGATGCATAGCCATTAGTCAGGTATGTTTGATTGACACAAGTCTTGGTATCCTAACTGAACATTACTTCTCTTTGGTCAATGAGAAGTGTATCCAACTGGGTTGATACTGAGCAGCAAGTGACATGGTATAAGATTTATATGATCAATATTTATTAATATTTGAGGGTTTTACACTGAGCTTGCATCATAATAGAGCACTAAAAGCTGAATCCACCAAAAAAACAAATGAATATATCAATAATATGAGCTGCATTTCATGACAATATAGAATAATTATTATCAATTTTAGTATTAATGAAATTATGAATATTCTAAATTTCTTAGCTCAGACAACAGTTTTCTAATTTTTACTTTTAATTTTCAGTCGGCATGATACAAGGTACTGTAAATCAATTTTTCACTGGGTTTAATTTAAAACTTGTTGTTCAACTGGCATACCAACAAATTTAAAGGACCCCAGGAATATATGCTCAGTATAGTGAAATTAAAACCCAGTAAAAATTAATTCTTTCACAGTAGCAAGAGGGAATATGGAAAGATGAACTCACCACTGTTTGGTACAGGTTTAGGTTGATCCCATAGTGGCGGTGGTGAGTCTTTGTCACTGCTCCTATCACTGCTGCTTTCACTGATGGTTGGTGGTGTGATGGTGCTAATACCACTAGTGCTCTCTGTCAGGTCAATATGTAACAACGTTAAGAATCACATCATCACCAAATGCTAAATTACAACCGAAACAGTTATAATCGCTAAATAATAGAACCCACCAAGTCCGTTGTCGTAAGCTTATACACGGAAAAGAAACCATTACAATTTTTTATTGCTTGTTAGTTTACTTAACTTCAAGCAGACCTAGCAAAGTAAAGTTCAGATAAAAACAAAAATACACAAAATACCTTTTAGATTCTTCTTGAGTGCCTTAGCTGCAACGGCTGCAGCTATTGAGTGTGGTGATGTCGGTCCTTTGACATTACGACGACCTGCCTCTAACGCTGTAGTATATGGTAGTTCTAGGGTGCTGTGAAAGGAAAAGATAATGTCAATTTACTATACACCAAGCAAGAAAGCATACTGAGGGCGAGTATGACTACATTTTACCAGTAGTGACAAAAATAGTACAAGTATCCTGACGAACAGGAAACATACAATCCATGATGGATCATTAGCAGCACAGCAAAAACTATGGGGGCAATATGTGATGCTGCATACAAGACAAATACATTTGTGGAATTGTATAAAACTAACCTGGGTCGCAGTACGTCTCCATTGAAGATGGTCTTTGGGTCCACTTTGACCCTTTACGAGACTTTGACTTGACATCTTTGAATCTCTTCAAATGATCTATATCAAGTACGTCATCTCTCTTCAGTTTGGATTTTTGTTTTGTCTTCAGTTCAGAGTAGAGTCCTCCGATGACATATTCATCGTATTCAGACTTTGTGTGTGTAGACTGAAATGAACATTTACCTATGTTCAATTTTCATGTTGTATTTCATGCAAACATTTCGCCATAGAGCGAATACAAGACAAAAGATAAATAAAATGTTAGGGGTACGAAAACGAAATTATATCGTGAATTTGAAGTTTTATGATTTTGGAGAGGACCAGTGGGTAACAGGTCATCAAAACAACACACCTATGTAACTTACTAGGAGTAAAGTCAGTACCAAGTTTTAATAAAATCAGCCAAGACATGCCTGAGAAAAACAGGTCACCAGCAAGTAAAAGGTCCAAACGAAAAACAAATCAACGTGCATATGTAGTTTATTATGACTTGTCATTGTATCAACTAGTAAATGCAGATAGTTTTCACAAAAAAAAAAAAATTCCTTTCCTAGTGAACAAGCATTGTATAGAACAAAGAAATTGGTAAATGTGAACATTTTGGAACAAAGAACAATTACTCTCCAATGAACGCTGAACGAAAAACTGCCTGCTGACAAAAGTAAGCATCATACTTGGAATCACACGCACAAAACGAAGATTAGTAAATGATATACGAGATTTTACTTACTTGTTTAGTGAGTTTTTCAATTGGGTCTAATTCAGGATTAGAATATTCTGTTGTCGTGGAGGAAGAATCATCTTGATCAAAATTGCTAATCTCTTCCTTCCTTGTCACAAGTCTTTCTTTTAACTGTCTTTCTTTCTCTTCTCTCTTTGATGTTGCTTTAGATTTGCGTGGTTTATTTTTCATCTTCTTAAGTGTGTTAATATCCAAATCGCTATGGTTGTGTTGTGGTTGGGATTGCTCAGTTGCCTTCTCAACATTGTTGCTGCACGACGCAAGGTTTTCTACCAAGTTGTGTTTCTGCAGTTCATACTCTTTATCTAAAAGCTTTGTGTCGTTGATAGAATTTTGTTCTAGTTCAGGCTCTATATAATGCCGTCTCTTGTTGTTCTTTGGTTGGTTTTGTTTCTTAGCAACTGGAGGGGAGCTCCTGGCGGACACATGTACAGGAGACCCCCTGGTTGCTAGATTTTCTAGATGGGTAATTTTATTATTATTGGAATTCCATGTATTCTGTTTTACTCTTTCTCTCTCTGGGGGCAGTTTTTTCTCATTGAGTTGATGGGTTTCGTTTGGTGGTGGTTTTGTATTATTTGCCATGATTGTGTGGTTATTCTGTGGCGGTGATGGTGTCCTCTGTATAAAGCCAAGTGTACTCCCAAGTCCTGTTATTATACTACTAAAAAAGAAAAAAAGTTAAAACTGCAAGTATAACATCAAAATGCAGTGATGAAATAATAATTTCCTAAACTATGTGATTTCACGGTTGTTTAAGGAGTAAATCATTTAGGCTTAAGACAAAACGTTGGCATCACACACACACACACACACACGCAACATATCAACATAATAATGTACTGTTGTTCTCAATGGCAGCAGTAGTACTGTAAAGTCTTGTTCACCACACAAACCACAGAATTTTAAACCATGTGAACATCTGCCAAAATTAAACCCAGTGAATAGGTTTTCTTCTGTATCACCACACAAAAAGTAAACCAAGAGTTACATTGTTGACTATGAGAGCAAAACAAAAATTACCCTCTCTCTATATATAATAAAATTTCCCAACCAAAAAATTCAAAATTTCTTTCTTACCTGTGTTTTGGATCAGGAGAACTGGGTTTATTAGTTCCAATACTCCGAAGGTCAAATCTTTTGCTTTTATCAATTCCTGGATCCTGTGGGGAGTTTCTTTTTTAAAGAGGATGGTTCTATGAACCTTAACGCCTCCAAATAGGACACCATAATTACACCCATAAATAACGTTATCATCAAACAGATAGTGGCAGCGTAAAGTAAATGTTCCCATGGTGGTCTTGGTAACGCTGTTGAACACATCGGTAGTAGATGTGGTGGTACTGTTGCTATTAACATGAACTCCATATTAGGGCCTTTTTCAGTGATAAATTTCAGGTGACGAGTGATTCGCGACAGGGTAAAATCTGGTGTGAAACTGTCAGTGAGAGAAAAAGAACGAGAGTGAGTGACAAATGTGGACAGGTTCAATTTTTGAAATATAATGGATGCCCACATTCTGTTTCAATGACATATTTGAATTGCTACAATTGTATTCAATGAGGGAGTCATTGTGATTTGCTTCATAAAGCAGAAACCTACTACACATACGAGTTACGCCCTCCATTAATTAGGATTTATTGGCATCAAAGGGCACACATTCAGTCACATGCTTTGGCAACATTAGATAAACAAAGTTTTAAATAAATACATAGCATGATAAACAACTAAAGTGCAATACATAGTCTGGGACAAATTGTTCTATTAATTGTAATATATTTTTCAGAAATTCAAACTGTCAGTCTATCACCAACCAAAAGAATTGCTATGTTTGCTTTTGTACACAATCCACTGAAATTGACAAAGGTAAGTCAAACAAATAAACAAATAAACAAATAAACAAATAAGTCTTATCCTTTTTAACCATCAGACTTACGCGCCCAAATTTTTATACACTTTTTTTATTATATTCTTCAATATTTTCCAGGAAATAAACCCTAATTTTGATTAAAATTTGATTAAATTTTCAGTTTTTACTATTTTGTCCCAATTTTCACAAGGAAAGTGCAAACTATAAAGAGGTCTATTTTATGATGAAAACTGGTGATGAAATAGTTATCCTAATGATTAAAGCAAATACAACAGTTTTAGATTGATGAATAACGTAATAATAATTTTACTTACGCAATGTCAACTTTATACGTCTGATTTGGTTTTAATATATACGGCTTACAGTTCAAAACTTTGAAGCCATAGCCTTCACATTCGTACCCGTTCACTTCAAACGTCCGGATATGAATCGGTAGCTGGCCCACATTTTTTGTTGTAAATGTTCTTTTGACAGTAAAATTGGGAGGTGATCTAGCTTTTGATGATGATCCTGTGAAGAAAATAATATCCTGTCAGAGTCTAAAACAGCAAAGACTAATTATAGAAAAGATCTCACACCAGGCGAGTGCGGTTTTGGCTTTGAATACCTGAACATTAGTTAAGCTTACTTCACAAATCAGCAAGAAGGACAATAAGACATCTTCATATTAGTTAAACTGGTGAGCCTATCAAATTAGCAGCCCATAACTATAGTACCAGATTATCAAGTGTTTTTAGATATACATCAAGCACTTTACTAATAATAATAAACAGTGATTAACATATGGTCTGTATATGTTAATTCTTAAAACTGAGAGTACACAATGACACTTTCACATAAGACTCAAATCCTTCAGTTAGAAGCCTACTCAAAAATCCAAATACCCAGAATTTATTCATTTTGCAATAAATTGTAATCCCGGACAGTATTAAGACATTGACTTTAAATAAAATTGGGGTCACAATCCTATTATTTCAGAAAATGTTGTTTGTATTGTTTTGAATAGTGGCCATTTTGGCAGTATTATAACGTTCTTACCATAGGTTTCTATGGCAGAGATATTATGCAATATCTTTAATTGTAGGCTGGTGACATAGGCTGAAAAATTTATATATTGTTAATGGTACGGTCCTTTTTGTTGACCTGAATTATTTAAAAAATCAAGATTTAAAAAGTGTCAAAAAGCAGTTTTTTCTTTAACATTGTGTTCTATTGAATTGTTCAAACATAGTGCTTTTTTGAAAATATTAAGACAAGTTTTTTAAAATACGGTACTATAACACACAAAGGAATGTTATTTCATGGTGCTATGGAGCAATAGCTCCATGATTTCACATAATAAACCAAAGATTTGTGACCAACTTTTTCAAAAATGAGTATGCTTCTACCTTAACAAAGTGATGCACAGAAAAGCGCAAAATTAGCCAGTTACCAAGTCACATTCCACAATCCCAACTCACCCAGGCAGCATACAACCCCTGCTGGGTTTGGACATCAACGACTGAAAGCAGATGTGGTATTGAAGAGGTGATGAAGGTGTACCAATGAAAAAGGTCACTTACTGTCACAATCTGCAAGATGACTGGCCTTCAATTCAAACAGCAGGGTACTATTGGCTCCTGGTTTTTTATTACTGACACGAAACTCGCCTCTAGCACCCTGGCCTTCCACCAGTAAAAAATCTATTATGGTTAAGTTGTTTCTGTTATGAAAAGGAGAACACATTTGGATAAGCAGCAAGTCCAACAATGAAAACTACATTCGGTACCTTAATAGACTCCTATATCCAGACTGCTATATCCAGACTCCCTCAAGCTATTTAATCATTTTTTTCTATATAGAAGCAAATTATTATAGTGAATTTTGGTTATTTGTTCAACTAGAAAGATGTCAATTGCTTTATCCTTTTCAGTGCTATGTCAACTTGACTTGGTCTCCATCCATAAAATAGTGCCTCTTACCAACTGTATTTAACCAACCAATTTTGCCTAATGTTAAAATTTGCTGTGACAGCGCCCTCTGTGGCAAATAAGCTTTTCCCACATGAGGGCGCTGTTGCAACAATTCAGGTATTTTTGTAGAAAAACAAATTTTCGAATTTGACTGACTAGTATTGAGCAATATTAGATCCACACAGTTCTTTGAACAGAAACAGCAATTGAAAATGGGGATTAACATACCTTATTAAAATCAAGGATGTTCTGAGTGTTTCATCTACTGGTGCAAAGCCAAGGATGACTGTGATGTTACTTCTTGGTTTCAGAATTAATGACACTGTACTTGTATTTGGCTTGACACCATAGGTGGTCTCTATAAACGTACTGTGCTTTATAACTGTACCACATGATGATTTCTAACACAAGATAAAATAACAGTTCGGTTTTAGACTGTAACAGAAAACACATGACGGTATCTGATTGTTAGTTTTCTCTCTCTCTCTCCAGGACAGGATCCAAGTTTGCTGATATTCTGTGGATTAATCTTCATAGATTTAATTGACTTACATTTTTTAAATCTTTCAGGAAAAACACATCAAGATCATCCACTTCAATTCCATCAGGATCAAATCTAGAAGAAATGATAATATGAACTCTCTGACTGAGACAGTTTTCTGTTGAGTCTGACACAGCCAAATAGCAATTAACTGTATTGCTGTATCAACTAGCTGATCAACACAGCAGGTAGAAAACAGCACTGACTTCTCTCCTATTTTTAACACTTCACTGTACACACTACATTATTACCAAGGGTGTGTACATCTACATTCACTATTAGTTTAATTTTTTTTTTAACCAATGGCGTGCTTTAGATAGTAATTTTTGTAAAATTTGTATGTTTTATATACATGTTTTAGCAGTTAGTGTAACCATTTTAATTCCTTCTGAGGAATTTTAAGTGTTTCAATAAACTAAACTAAAAAATTATCTGGCTCATCAAAAAGGAGTCACTATAATCAGGTGAAACACTTCCAGATATAAGTACCGCGTCACAGAACTGGTAGCATAAAAATATAAGTTACACCTACCCTCACAATAATGTAAAACAATATTAAATTAGTTTGTATTCAAGCTAGTCAAGGTGTACCAATTCATGGTTACATAGTGGCTGCTAGGAGAATACTGGGAGAGTTTTACTAGACTTTTTTAAGGTCTATGGTTTTACTTACTTTTCTCTATCAATAAGCAACTCTAACATAGACTGTGGGTTTGGATAGTTTGCTATGGGCAGCAACTGAACCAACAGAGACACATCTGAAGGATTGAAAATTTTTACTTCCTCAATCTGTGGCAAAAAAAAAAACACAAGCACACACCCACATAAGTATTAGTAAATAAGGTACATAGTTTTTGAGGACAAAATTGTTGCTGTGTTGTTGGTGGTGCATAACAAATACAATTCATCATTGTTCTTGCACAAAACGAGAATGTTAATATTCTGTCAGTGTAACATTATTTCAGTGCGAAGGGACAGCATATACCGTAATAAAAATAGCTGCAATACCCGATAATAGTAAAACACTAGCAAGAAAGCAGAATACAGGAAGAACACATTCCAGAAAAACAGGTTTCACACATACTTTCTTTCTCCCAACAACACAATTACCAAACACTGACCGTCTTACCGAATCATTGCCAATCTGAGTTAACGGGAACTGAATCTTTTCTTTTTTAGTCAACGATGGCCACGCTAGCTGTGCTTCTGCTGCTATTGGATAGCTTTTCACCTAGGTTTGTATCTAGCCTTAATGTTATATTAGATCTACAACAAAAATCCATAGTTCAATATTATTCTCAATGTGATCTTAAAAGCCAGTACAATTTTTAGTTTGGTTGTGAGATAAACTTGGCTACTTTAACTCAAAAAATCAGCGTACAGCTGTCAAAGGAAATATGTCCAACACACAACGGGTTATGATGTGCTAGTAACGTATGGAGTTATGGAGATGTAGTTCACCAGCTCAATCTCAACTGCAGCTGACTTTCAGTATTACAATACTTACACTGCCCTTCCTGACTGCTGTACTTCATGCCAATGATTACGGAATGTTTGATAAAGATCTATGTCCACCTCTATGATGTCAGGTGGTACTGCCAAACTGTGAAGCCATTGATACCCATCTGTGTAAAAAATATTAGACACAAAACAAGTGAGTAATCATAGTGGAGCTGAATCCTAAGTGCAATAAAAGCAGGTTAACAATAGTACTGGATAATATTCTATCTCAGATACACATATTGAATTGCTATTCTGAAGTGAAGTTGATACAAATCATAAAAAACTCTTGAATTACCTGTATTTACTAGTGGCAAGCCCACATAGCAAGCTTCTTTGCAAGTTTGTTTTGCGTCAAAAAATACTCTTCCAACCTGTGGAAGGGAAAAACTTCAGTGATTAGATCATTCTGTCAGTGTTTTTACCTTAACATACATAAATTGTTAACAGAAGAAACTGAAAACACTATTTGACACCTGTCAGTTGATTATCTAATATGAATTTTATCTCGGGTTAACTGACTGAATTACTGACATATTAAATGAATGAATGGACATGGAATACCTTATTCCTTTTCAGTGGCTCTAACTCTATTTGCACTTCTGGCTTTTTTCCTGTTCTAAAATAAAATCTATCATCGTGTGTTTCTGGTGCGATACTTTCCAGTGTCATTGGATGCTTAAATGAGCTGAGTAGTGTCAATGGCTGCGATACCACACGGCCCTGCAAAGTGATCAAAAACATTGGGTTAAGATGCATGGTGTTGCAGGATACACAGAGGCTATATGGTCATTGCGCTGTCAAGATTTTTGCTTACTCACGAAATTCATGTAAATTTGTCACTTGCAAAATCAAACCAGATTACAGTAGTGCGACAGACTGTAAAATACCACACATTCAAAAGATGCATCTTACGATCTGAGATGTATTATACTTACAGGAAAAGTCGGCCTGAAGTGAATCTCTTCGGGTCTCGCTTGTAAACAACCATCGGCTGTCTTTACAATGACAGCTATACTCACAACTTCATACGGTGATTTTAACAATACTTCGCTGACAAACTGACCTTCCTCACCAGGACCAATCACTTCAATTCTGAATACTGCATAATGATAAGGAGGCAGCACCAACTGGACGAGCAACTAACAAACACGAAAAGGATGAGCAACAATGCATTTTTCAGCAGAAGTGAATAAACAAGCATATACTCGTAACATAGGATCGAACTAAGATGTAGTGAACATGGGAAAACTTTGTTAAAAACACAGTGAGGGAAAAAGAAAGTGTGTGCATAAACAAAAAGCATCTGAAAATGCGAAAATCCAAGATAATGAAGACAAACTTACAGGATCTGTGTCCATTTCAGAGATGTTGTGCTCTTTAGTGAGATATGTACCATTGCCTGGTTCCACACCCAGTAATTCCACCCTGGTACCTTCCATATTACATCCCCATTCATACAGAGGTACCTACAGAAACCAAGTTGATGAAGAATGTTGCAACTAACAACGTAACACACTGTGAAATATCTGAACAGTGGATATCAACAACCTCGACAGCAAACAGACGTGATGAAACAAAATCTTACCTCTACTGGGTTTTCATTTATGATAGTAAAAGTCATACTTCTCACGTCACCTATACCCATAGTACCAAAATTGATATGATCCACTTCTGCGGAATGAACTACAGGCTAAAATGAAATTTGTACATTAGTATATGTCTTGAGGTCTGCATACCTGTTACTTTTAACACATTTCTGCACTGACCCTTTATGAAAGGGCCAAAATTAGAAATTAAATACTTTTAAAGTTGACATACTCAATATCAGATCATGACTACAGGGGTATAAAATAATCCTTTACTGCTAGCAGCCATTATAAAAGTTAACGAAACCATTTTCCACTCACTGTGAGAAACCACTTTATACAATAAATCAAACATAAAAACTGGACAAACAAAGATTAAAGTGGATTCAAAACATTCTGTGGGATTCAGCAAAAGTATTAAGGTGTTTTCACGCTTAATAATGTGTGGTGCACATTTGATGATGGTCAAGTTGGATAAGTAAGGGCATCTCAATGCCATAATCTGGTCTGAAAAAACAACATTTTAATGACATTGGATATTTTTATAAATTCACTTTTCACACGAGATCTTACAGTGAATGAAAAAATCATCTATTGAATTTGAATATATCTGGTAATGTTGCACCTACTTTTAATGTTCCATTGTAGCAGTGCACAGGAATTGTGAATAAAGATGCATTTGTATTCAGCTTTAGTTCTGTAGCTACTGTCCTGGATACATCTGTTTTGAAACTAAACTGCAACGACCTATCTGTATCGTGTGGTGCTATAAAAATAGGACCTGTGAAATTTTTAACCTGTTAAGTAACCATAGAATAATTGAGTCAGTTGAAAATGATATCAAATTATATATGAATAATTGGTGGAACACTTGTCTTAACTTCTTTAGTTTTTAACTGAATAAGTTAAATTTTATTCCAGATTAAAGTTATCTTGGAATCCTGGTAGTAGCAGTTGAAATGGCCCATAAGGGGGATGGACGAGTGGCAAATACTTTAATTTCGCTTGGAATTAATTTTCGCTACTTTCGCTGAAGGAACGATTCCGCGAAAATTAAATGCATGTTTATATATACTTTTTTTCCTATACATGTATCTTACATTCAACACGTCAAAAATCAGTGAAAATAAATTACATACACAACATCTAAAAAGTCTTTTCAACAAAAATTAATTTCAGCTAAAATAAATTAAAAAAACAAACAAATAATATTCGATACAGTAAATTCAAGGATGGACTGAAAAGAAATGAGAAAGGTTGTATATTATAAATACACAACAGCAATAATTTCTCATGACTGGTTGGTCTGCGTCGACATTCAGTGCACTCTAAACATGTATTAGAAACAACTAAAAGTGAAAGCTGTGCTCAATAGAAGATACTTTATTCAACAGACATAGCTAGTCTTCAACTGTAACCTAAAAACACATTTGGCTGTATATGCCTTCAAAACCAAATCAAGGAAATGTAGACAGAGACACATGTTGTTTCAGGCAATGATACTTACTGTAAATAGATGCTGCACATGTTTAGGCAAGGTGACGTCATGTACAATCAGGGCAAAATTAAACAGATTGGTTAAAGGCAGTTCTCTGATAACTTCTTCATAAGGTGGTTTCCCCAACATAAAAGATGGTGCTACTTTTATTATACCCAAGAGTACTGCAAAGTAAACGAAGAAAGAAATTTAAAATCATAACTAAACTTTGGTTGATGATCTAGACTTATTATGCATTACAAAGTATACTGCGGTACACATATGCTATGCATTATGGGAGAGAACTTTTCATTGTAAATAATGGATTAGCTATTATCCAAAAACTGGCTTAATTGTTTTAAATGTGTTAATAATAGGATTCATATCAATAATATATGCCTTTATTTTTGAATTTTGAAATATGAGAAAATAATTTCACAATATAAACCAGTGCAAAAATGTAATGAAAGAAAGGTGACATAATCTTTAATTTCACTCAAACCTTCAATAATAAAAAATCAAGACATACACCAGGTTTTACAATTTTAAGGTACATTCTGCCATCATGAACCAGTCTATACTGCCATCCAGTGTTCATTTGTTAATATTCTTTTGTTTTTAATTGATGGATAATCAGCCACACAAGAAAGATAAAAATCGCATCACTTACCCCTGTAAAACATGTACTTGATATGGAATCTGCATTCTGTAGTTTTTCTCTTTTGTTTTTATGACAATTTTGCCCGACAAACTGCGTGGGTTGACTGCTTTTGAAGGATCATATACTATATCTGCTATTTTAACATGCTTTTCAGATGGCCTTAACTGCTGCGGTTTGAAGTCTATCGAGATTGCTTCGTTACCTTTTAGAAGAAAAACATTCTGCAGAAAAGTAGAGACAGCTGTTGTTGAA